GTCATTTTATACATATTATCTAACTTTTTTTATTATTTTTGAATTTTTCTAATAGTTCTTTCTAACTCCGAATTAGAAGGTACTAAACTTCAGATTTTAAATTATGCATACACAAACACAATAAACAATTAAAATAAGCAAACACATTAAAATATAAAAATATTAATTAAACTACAATAAGTTTTACAGTTCAAATAAAATCTTCTAAATTATAAAGTAATTTATCGTTACTCTCCTACAACGACGCCAAAAACTTAATTCAGTATTTTTATGTATGTTATGCATTGTAAATATCTTTCAATGCTACAACACACCCATGACAGCACAATTATTAATTATGCAGATCAATAACAATAAAAATCACTTCAGTATAAATAGTTTTATATTTTAAAATCATTAAGCTGCCAAACCTTAATAATTAATAATAACGCAAGTGTGCGTCTCGTTCAAGTAATAAATGACTCTAATGAAATCCTAAGTATCGATCCCAAAGGGATTTGAAAATTCTTATGGTTATAATTTAAAACACAGTATTCAAACTACAAAAACTTAAATAAGAAAAATAAATTTAAAGTAAATTCGATGTATGCTAAATGAAATGCAGTTAAAAGAACTAAGTTAACTAAACTATATTCTAAACTTCAAAATTAAACTTACTAAAACTAAACAAAGTTCTGTAATGAAGAGTTCAAATTTAAGAAAACATCATTCCCCTTTACAAATAGATTGTGAAGTAATTTAAATCATTTAAAATTATATATAAAATTATATTGTGTCAAATATGAGCAATCTTATTCTTTACCCTCTTAGAGTGCATAAAGAATATTGATTTATTATTTACCCTCTTAGAGTGCATAAAGAATATTGATTAATTCAGTATTTGGTCCCTAAATCTGTGGTTAGGTTAAAAGGATACTGGCTCCCACTCCAGAACTCCCACTTCTCCCTTTCTTAAGGGCTAACAATCTCGCTTTAGTTTTTTAGCAACCGGACCAAATTGAGGATTTTAGTCTGTTACCCTAAAATCTCCAATTCTTTATACTTTCAGTTATTTGGCTTAGCATTGATGCAAAGGTGCAAAGGTCAGAGTAAAAGAAATTCAAGTTTTTTTTAATGGGTAGAGATAATTGCTAAGAAAATATAGTATCAAAAGCAGGTAAACATGTTTAGGAAAACCTAGGTCTTTAAGAAAGGTGACTTGTTGTGGATCGTGAGAGGTTTATTGCATGGTCATTTGGAAAAATCAAGCTTAGAGTTGATTGCCCATTTAGGATTATTAAGATCAATAATAATGTGTACAAGATAGATATGTTGGGAGACTACACTATTTTTGTTACCTTTAGTATGGCTGATTTGCTGCCATACTACAAGGATTTAGAAGTTTCTAGAAAAGAAGACAAAATCTCTACTATTTGGAGTGATGCATGAGCATCCTATTAGGTAGGACGGATGAAAGATGACATAATTCCGTCCTTTGAGAATTGAAGCGGGAAAATTCCCACTTGCTACTAGACCACCCTCCTTGTGGGCCCTTGTTTACTTTATTTTGTTTTATGTTGAGTTTAATTTGTTTCTTAGTATAACTTGGAACTTAATGTGAGACTTTTGAGTTTTGATATGTGCAATAAAGATTATTTTCTCTACTTTTTTTGTCGGATTGTTTTATCATTGATCTTTCTCAGATGATGTGCTTGAACCTGAGTAAATCTATGTGGTGATTTCCTCTGGACATCCAAAGACATCCTATGCTGCTAGTTTTGTAGCAGTCCCATATTTTTTCTATTCTGGTTTGCTTTGCAGCCATCGAGTGCATCGATTTCTCAATCATCATCCTTTTTTCAGCCACCTTTCTTGTCCAATAACTTTCATAACCTCTCTTCATATCATGTCACACAATCTAGCAACCCTAGATCTATGTCAATTAACCTCTTGCTTATTTGTGCTTTCTTGACCTTTCGATTATTATCAATAAGGATATTGGTTCTTTTCCCTAAATTGATTAACATGGAAAAGAAACTAATTCAATTTTCTTGGTATTTTCTAATGGTGAGTGGAGTAGTTTGGAGTGGTTTCAACTTCGAGTGAGTGAGTAGAAAGCATGGGAGTCACATGCGGTGGAAGTTGTTGTCACGAGCCAGCCCAAAAATTTGTACTACCGAGGTGGGAACACCTTTGAGAGACATACAACATACTATAGACTTTGTGCTTATGTCTCAGCTTCCTAATCTTCCTCATTACAAAAAAAGAACCTTATTGAGCTATAGACAAATAAATATAATTACATCATCTAGCATGGAAATATTGGACGCATTATTTTCCACACATGGAATTTGTCTTGCACGCTGATCATCATTCCTTGAAGATTATGAACATTTGGAATAAATTAAATCATAAGCATACTAAGTGAGTAAAACTCCTATAATTTTTTTCCATTTGTCCAACATAAGCTTGGGAAAGGTAATGAACCTACAGTCGACCGTCTAGAGTGACATTAAAATTATCTTTCATAATTTGAAGTCTGGGATTTTGATAGACTTGAGGAAGATTATCATATATACTCATATTTCAAGCCATTTGCCTTGAATACCTAGACTGTGATCGTTACTTCTATACGGGAAACACTATGTGTCTCCATATCATCTATTAGGAAGTTTTCAATTGCTAAGCTTTATTCTAAAGCCATTTTGAAAAAAATAATAAAATAAAATAGGTTTGATGGAGTGTTAAGTTTAATTGTCATTAATTAAAGAAGGGTATTCAGATGTTAGTGCCTTATTGTTACACTTGTAAACAACCAAAAGTCTTAAATTGCATTGTCGATGTTTTATAGACATTGGGAGGAATCCTTAAAAACTTTTATCATAGGACTACCCAGGACTGTATTATAGCATTTTTGGGACAGACTCGCTCTTTTTTATATTGCACAATGACACATAATGCATCACACAAGATTTTTTTATAGAGAATAATATTGCACGGCTTATCCTCCACTACAGTGTTAGATAGGGATGTGAAGTCAGTTTCTCATTAACTGGAGAATGTTATGAAAAATGCATGGTACAAGGTTAAAATTTTTCCCTGCTTTCCACTTTTAGGCTAATAGTCAGATGGAAGTTATTAATAGTGCCTTTGGGAATTTATTAAGCTTAATAGGAAAGAGTTTAGGAAATTGAAATATTTTTATACCCACCACTCAGTTTGCCTATAATACTGCCATCATTACCATCACAAAGAAATCATCATTTGAGATAGCCTATGAGCAAAATTCAAAGAGACCCATTGATATGGCTGCGATGCCAAATAATGTATTTTTCATTTTTATTTCCACATTCATAAGCGATTTTTGAATCATTAATTTTGAGATGGGGAAACACATCAATGTGAAGTATATTAAAAAAGAAAATCATAATATTTTAAAGAATATGAAAAATCTGATTATGTATTGGTTCATTTTAACTTAAGAAATATCCATCCATAAATTTTAAGAAATTGTAAGCCTTGACTTGTGACCATTTAAATTAATTTAGAGTCTTGCACCTAATGCAAATCATCATAATTCACTATATGACATGATAATCAATTCAATTTTTAATATTGTGGATATTATTTTGTTTAACAGAACTAACCAACCACTAAATGATGCAATTAACCCTTCGGCAGGAGTTCTTTTTAACCACAATTGCAAGTACCTTCACCATCAAACCTCTTTAAAGTTGACTCTGTTTTTATAGAAGCAGTGTCTACAATCCAAGCTAAGGATCATAGTAACTTGATCTGATGCAAGAATAAATCATCTATTGAGGGCATATGGGCCACATAAAGAAACTTGGAGAAGCTAGCACTAGGACATTCTGAAGAATATTTGAATTCATTTTTTGCATAGAAGAGATCAAATGAGTTCAAAGGAGTTAATTTGAACAACATGCAGTTGGTTGTCATGGTTCCATTGCTAGAGAAAGATCAAGAATTCAAAATGAGATTAAGAGCCTTGACGGTCTCATCACAACATCATGATCAAGGACTAAGAGAGCTTCATTAATCACGCATAATTAAAGAAAGATTGCTTTGAAATATTTAAAATGAATTCAAAATTATGTTGAAACTCATTTATTTTTAATTTTAAAATTTGATTTTTTATGCTTCAAAATATTTTCACCTTGTGGGAGGCATTTTATTGTTGATTTTTTGATATTTTAATATTTGGGGATCCTCTGCATGGATTTTCCAACAGGGGTGGGTTTAGCGCATAATGTTATGTTAAGATCCCACTAGATTTTTTGATGAAGATATTTTTGAGTTGCCCACACTTCAACTTTCTTCTTCATTTAAAAACCTTCTTATCCTTACTAGCTTCCTCATTTACCTAAAATTAGGGAAATTTACAATTCTTATGCATTTACACATCTCATATCTAAACATTAAAGTGTTAATAGTGCTATTGTTTATGTGATACTAAAGATATGAGTGCTATGTGTGTAATATGAAATTTTAGGTGTGAGATATGTGAACACATAAGAATTGGGTGCCATGTATGTAATGCCCCTAAAATTATTATTTATCGTCATTAAGCCACTGGTCAATGCATGAAATAAAGTGGTAAAACTTCTTTGTGTTCCCATTTTCAGTAGCTTGTCATGCATGGATGAATTCATTCTTGCATATTTACTGCCCGGAGTTTCTTATGTCATATACATAACTGATGCATGTATAAATGATTTTTTCTCTATCCTACCTATGTTTTATGTGTCTTTAACCGATCCGAATAAAGTATACTAAGACGACAAGCTTGTCAACAATTGTTTATTCAAACTTAATACTTTTTTATAATGTATTGCTATAGATTATAAAAATTTCTTCTTTTAATGACTTCTATTATAGTGATAAATGCATCATATTTCCCCCTTTATCATATTGCACGGTAGAACCAGACCAAAGTTTCAGTACAACGAGAAATATATATTCAGAAATCACCTTAATTGATATTTAAGATTTGATTTCAGAGTTGGAAAGATGACAACAACACTTTATGGTTCCGTAAGCCATATTGGTCAAAGGGATCGAAGTTAAACGGTTTTAACCCACATGAGTCACCATCTGGAAGGTCTAAGAACAAAGGTAAGGAATTACTTCATAATCAAGATCCTCTTTTTCTCTGACACCGGTGTTAATGGCATGATTTTTTGTACTTTTTTCTTCTTTTCAACATTTCTTTATTGTCGGTCATTTATCTTTAAAATGGGCTTGATATAAACTTTAAACTGAAACTGGTTGGGATTTTTACTTGACATTATTAAACTATCCATGCTCAGGAAAAGATGGATTTATTTTCTGCGCAAGTGATGATGATGATGTTGAGAACATATTCCACTCTGCTTTTGGTAGGGAAGGATTCTATTATTCGGCCTCCAGTAGAGATGGAAGTTTTCAGTGGCGTTGCTCCTCAGGCAATTATCAAAAATGCTCCTCAGATTGGAGATATGAAACAGATGAGGAAACGGATGAAGATAGTGGTGCTGATACTTGCCCACAACCTAATTTAACTTCTGAAAGACTAACTCTTGGTTTGAGTGCTTCAGGTCCACTTAAGCTTAATGAAATAAAGAGCGCGTAAGTCGTCATTATCTTGATAAAACTATTTATTTTTTACTGTATGAAATTATAAAATTTTCCTCGTTGCCTCGGCAGCAAAATCATCCAACTCCTCCCTCTATGACAAGGCTTTTCCCAAAAGCTTAAAGAGCTGGATTAGGTTGAAGTTTTTATGATTGAAAATGGCTCCAATGTATTATTAAGACCTCAAAATGTTTTTCAAATTTTGATCTCAAGTGTCCGCAAATAATTCAAATAAGCGTGAACTTCAGCAGTTGTCGATGAATCCAAGTATTCTATTTCAATGTGAAGTTAAACTTTTGAATCTCCTTTTTGTTTACAGATATAGAGCTTGTGCTTTACAGTGGCATCCAGATCGTCATCAGGGCGCATCAAAGGCAAGTTTGAACCACCCACATTCCTATCATGAATCACGACCATGGACGGCCGGATTTGTGCTTAGACGCAATTGTGCATAGCGATTATACTCCGTCCAATTCTTTATCTGTTCTCACACCTTGCACGAACTTAGGGGATGATGAGATAGTTCATTAAACTCTAAGCTGCCACCACCTTCTGCCAATTTATTGCTGGATTGCTCTTCATGATCCCCCTTCTTATTTTTCTTCCTTGTTCTCAGTTTTCCTTTGACTATTAATTGTTTTTTGGTCAACACAAATCTTATTAGATATTCAGCTTAGTAGAGCTTTGCTTGCAATAGGATATACCTAACCAAATGTTTTACTCTATTAGAGTTATGATCCTTGTTGAGTAGGGTTTTTTGGGTTTAAGTGACTCAACTTTAAGTTAAATCTTTGGGCCATTTACATGCATACCACACAATTCTCTTATATTTACATATCTAACATCTAGACATTCATCTTTAGATTCGTACCATCATCATTGTCTTCTTAAAAGTGAAGCACACCTTTTCATGCATAGATTTAAGTTGTCAAGTTATTATAAATGTAAATATCAAACTTTGGGAGTTAGATATTTAAATACATAAAAATTGTGTCGTGAATGAAAATTCCCCCAAGTTTTATTGTACCACTCAACAAAAATTGTATTTGAAATTAAAATTAATTCGAGTCAAGCCAATTCAAAGTGAAATGATTCACTTTTGATTTTTCTCTTCCTTAATTTTGAGTTGTCCCAATAATAATTTTTACTTAATTTTTGTACATCTTCCTTTCTATCAAAGTTTAGATCTTGTTGCATTTTCAGGTAATAGCGGAGGAAAAATTCAAAATTTGCAGTACAGCATACAAGTCATTGTGTGACAGATTAGCTACAAGCTGAGTTTCCTGCGCTCTTCAATTCCTCCAATATGATGGCCTGCAGCCATGCTGCAGTTGCTTGGTTCAGACAAATAGTGTTTTCTAGCTTTTTTAATTGAATATTATCAGCATAAATCCAAATAATTAAGACCTCAAATTTGTGAGACATTCTTTTCCTTAGGTTATATTAGAAGACATGCAGAATGAATATCTTATTCATTGTAACCATAAAATAATAACTTTTGCATCTCATTTACTGTACTATCCAACAATTTATATTTGCTTTTGCCTTTTTTTTAGTTGGGACATGTCCATACCACACAATTCCTATACATTTATATATCTAACACCAAAAACTTAATATTTACATGCATGCCACTCAAATCTTTAATATCACATGAAAATAACCGTCATCATTATCTTTTTTAAAGTGAAATATAACTTTTTATACATAGATTTCTGACATTAAGCTGTTATAAGTGTAAATATCAAACTTGAGATGTTAAGATATATAAATGCATATGTAACTTTTCCTTTTTTGTTTGATTTCAACTGTTAAGAGTTAAATGTACTGGTTTCTTCACATATCAATTGATTGGTCCATCTTCTACTGTAGATCCATTTGGTTTCTTCCAGCTTAAAATATTAAAAGAAAATATTTCATTTGTGTTTATTTTGTGTTCGGATAATTTCATAGTTCTCCCTTCAAATTCGAGCCTGTGATTTAGGTGGCCTGCACTGAATAAGACGAATTCATACATCACTATCCTATCCCCATATGCTCTTTGTGGTTCGTGTGCACTATTTATATATTTCATCTACTTTTTATAAATTGCTCGGTTGACTGAAAAGGATGGTAGCTAAGGCCAAGAAGATGTTTCTCCATCTTATTGTAGTAAAAGAAGAGGGTAGTGGAAATTTCAAGGGAAAGATTCAAGAGGTGATTGTGGTATGTTTATGTCAAGCCACTAAATACATCCCTTTTACTTTGAAATTTTTTTATTAGCACACTTTGTTATATGTTTAGAATGGTTTATGATGTTGTAATTGTTATTTTTGACATAGAATCTAAAATCAATATCTGAAAAAAAAAAATTCAAGGAACTTGTTGCCTTGAACCATCAAAAGAAAAGTTTCTTACTTCTATGATAAAAGCATACCAATTTACCCTCATCTCAGGTTTGTCATACCCTTTAATATTGTTCAAGTCATATGTAGAGTTTGGAATGTTTTGGAAGAAAAATTATTACAAAATTTAGAGGCTATGATTTATTTGAGAAATCTAAGTAATCTCCTTTTAAGTAGATTTGTAATGCTTCTACCATGTACTTAGTTATCTAAGGAAAGGGGACCCAGACTTATCAAACTTCACCCAAGGAAGGCCTATGATACAAAGAATAATGATCATATTAATACCCTTTCTTGCGAGTGTTTCTCTTATGACATATTTGTTCTCAATTGGTCACTCTAAGAGTTGTACTTCATATTTGTCAATTATTATGTTCTCTTTTAATAAGGACTTCCTATAGTATATAGTCATCGAATTACTCTAGCATTAATTTATCTCCGTCTCTGTCTTATCTTAAATTTTTTTGATCGCCGGGGCTTCAACACATACATTCAAGTTATTTTCTACCTTATTTTCTTGTCTCCCTATGACCTACATTTTTTGACACTCTTATTGACTAGAATAGATGTATATCATTATAGTTTGAATGTAAGCACTACCTTTGAGAAGCTCAATGACCTTGTGCTCATAATCTTTTCTTAATCGCAGATGACACCTTATTACATCTTCAACATAAATCTTTTATTTCTACTCTAATTCGACTCATGTTTCAAATGGTTCTCTCTTGAAACTCTTGCACATGCACTTGAGTATGATCCACATGGCAAATGAAAATGGCAAACGTGAATTCCTAAATGCATGCATACAGACATTTGATTAGACGCATGTGTAAGTATCAAAAATGAAAACTGGCAGCAAAGACAAAATCGATTATAGGCACTCACCAAATCCTTATAGGATGGATAAGTTTGTTATGCTCATCATCAAGAATGTTCTGTTTACTCATATAAATATTATGTATTTTTTTAATCAAAATTATGGGGGTCATACCTACAGTATTTTGATTCCCACTTTATCTCTTGCATTCTAGTTTTTCATGGTGTTAGAGCAAGGTTTATAAACCATGGCATTATGCTCTTCCCTGCTACCTGGGAATGCCACCAGAAGAAAGCGGTCATACAACTTATGTTTTATTTTTTGTGTCTTTGTGGGTAAGATCCTTCCTCTTATTTTATCATGGCTAACTCCCAAATATTTGAAACACAAATCTATTCCTCTATTGATTCAATTCATACACAGAAATACGACCAACCCTCAAATTTCTCATGAGTAACATCAACAGCCGATCCCGAAACCCTTTATCATGAGATAATCATCCCTTATTGAAGGCCCAAATCACCTCAGTATTCACAACAAATGGATTCCTTAGGTTTCTCGACGGAAGAAACTCTTCCCCTTCTAAATTACATTCCTCCACAGTTGCCTCATCAACCTTGAATCCACAATATTACCATGTGTTTGTTGGTTGACCAAAACGTCTATATGGATCTCAATTCAACCATATCTTTGCCCATCCTCCCCTGTGTGTTCAATCTCACCACTTCCTTAGAAATTTGGTCCACCCTTGCCAAGAGATTAAAACCTACCAATAGGTAATGACTCATCTAGTTGAAGAATGAGCTACACTCTGTAACTATGAAATCCCAATTTATGACACAATATTTATCTAATGCAAAAGCTTTGGTAGAAAATATTTTTGCAGAAGGATGTCATCTTAATTAAGAGGATATCATTCCTATACCCTCAATGGTCTGCCCGCACAATATCAAGCATTCAAGAATACAATAATGACTTAAAACCAACTCATTGAGTTGGACGATTTCTATTCTCTCCTATGCATTGAGGAAATTAATGTAGCTAATGATAATCTGAAAATTGAAACTATAATCAATGGCATAGTAGCACCTCAAGAATATAGGCAAAGCTATGGCAACTCTACTAAAGGTCATGGAAGAGGATCTCATCCCAAACACGCAAGGGATGAGTAGGTCTCAACGATAACCGATCGACAGTCACGTGTCAGACCTTTAACAAAGTTAGACATTCCTCTACTATCTACTGATTGTACTACACACCTTCCCCAAATTAAGCCCTATGCGCCTCAAATCCTAGCTGGATCCCTATTTTGGAGCTGCAACTCACACGACATTGAATCTAAACCATCTCCAAAATGTAATTCCAACTCAAGGATCTTAATAAGTCATTCCAGGTAACGATACCAGCGCACCATACCAGAGATGACATCCTTTCAACACCTACTTGCAAGCTAAACTTAACTAAAATTTGACGTGCTCCATCTCTCTCTCTCACAACCTACTCTCGGTTCAAAAGATAACACGAGATAATCAAGTATCTATTATTTTCGATGATATCAGATTTACCATTTCTTATCTAAAGACACAAGCTCTTCTTTTTGTCACAGCTCTAAGGGGCTCTATCCTCTCAACACTACTTCATCAAAGACATCACCTCCCTTCTCCCATCTTCAACATGGCATCAACATGTTGGACTTCCGCATCAAGTAGTTATATGTGTCTTAGCAAACTATATCCTACTTTAGGCATTCAAACCATTCTACAATCATGTAATAGTTGCAATGTTAGTAAAAAGTCACAAACAACCCTTTCATAGTACCTCTTTGCATACGTACGATTGCTTCCAACTTTTACGTACTAACATATGTGGTCCATCTCCTCGTATATCTCATGAATGACTTTGCTACTATTCTATTTTCATTGACAACTTCTCAAAATTATGTTGTGTTTTTTCTATTGTTGCAAAATCAGAGATGACAACTAAATGCATTATATTTATAAACATGATTAAAAACCAATTCAAGATCATCATAATATATGTAGTTCATATGACGAAGGAGAATTTACGGGTGCTAACCTTGCCAATTTCTTAAACAATCACTTATCAACTATCATGACGTTACACCCAATAACAAAAATAAAATTATGAAACGTAAACATTATCACTTAATTGTAATGACCTGAGTTCTTCTAGCTATTGCATCTCTTTCATATTAATTTTGAGTTGACACACTTCTTACAACAACTTACCTAATTAATTGAATGTTTTCTAGAAACACCCATAACATATTTCCATATGAGCTATTGTATCAATGCAAACCTAAATATACATATCTCAAAGTATATGGTTGTGATTCGTGGATGAAACCGCAAGTAGAACAAGAATTGACTCCACGGTCAACTTGTTGCATTTTCATGGGTACTCACCACACTATAATGACTACAATTTTTTTCACCAATAAATAGGTTATATCATTATCTCCCGACATGTCACCTTTGCTGAACAGTCATACCCATTTGCTTCTCAACCGACTATCATCTCTCCTACAAACACAACCACCAATACCAATCCTTTACTTCTCATATCTCTCCTTCCTACCTACTCTTCAACACACACAACTAGAACAAAATTTGTATCCATTTCACCACTACTAACTCCTTACACAAGCAAACTAAAACATCTCACACCTCATTTCCTCTTTTTGTACACCAATAAGCCACTCAGAAACCCATTCCTTCCTCCCACTTCAAAATCTGATGTTGCCATCTCATAAGTGCAAATAAGGGCCAAAGAAGATAATCTGAAATATATCCTCTGTTTGAACTTATCCTACCAGCTAGCCAACCCCTAGTCCCATATGCTACTCCCAAGCAATGAAATGTTCCAACTAAAGACAAGCCATGAATGTTGAGTGCCATGCCATGCAAGCTCAAGCCACTTGGAAATTGGTGCCCTTACCTGCAAATCATTCAATATTAAGATGTTAGTCAATTTATTGCACTAAATTTAACTTTGAAGGCTTGGAGGTAGTCTACAAGGATCGGTTTGTTCCTCATGGATACAAAAAAGAGTTGAGAGTCCATTACCATGATATCTTTAGCATGGTTGTAAAAGTGGCTACTTTTAGAAGGTTAACTACTATAACATTTCAGAAATAATGGCCTACCTTTTAGCCTATATTGAATGTGTTTATATATAGGGCTTTAAGTGAAATCATTTATATGTAGCCATCATTTGGATTCATTTATGCGAACTTCCAAAACATGTGTGCTTACTCAAAAAGGCAATCTACGACCTTAAGCAATCTCTCGGCAATGGT